CCCTCTCTCTTTACCCGTAACCGCTATCAAAATTCACAAACAAGGCCACTGTACGCCTTTCAGAACATTTGAAATTTGTTCTGAGTAAGAAAACTTGGTGAAATGCTGAAATGGTATGGGTTTAACGCCCTTATCAACACTATTAGGTTATTTAAGGGGCGGGACCTACTAGTTTTACGTCCGTCTCTGATAGGACCGAGCCAAGGGGGAAATTCGTGTAAAGTGCCTTTCCCAAGGACACAACGTCGGACCGAGCTGAGGCTCGAACCCCCGAACCCGCAATCTCATGATCATGAGTCCGGTAGCCTAACCACTAGGCTACAAAGTGAACTTGGTTTTATGGTTCTTAATTCAACATTTGAAGGACTCCATGACAAAATACACTGCATCCCTTTACTACAACACTGATAAATAAAAGGGAAAGAAGATGTTCTCTGAATTTCAGAGTGTGTGCTTCCCCCCCCCCCCCCCTTCCCTCTCTTGTTTATCTTCTCAAAACAACTGCCCATGCCAACAGTACACTAGAATTATAGATAATAGATAGCATTTATTTGTACAGCGCAAATTCCCGCTCAACAGCAAACTCTGTGCGTTTTACAATCAATACTATTATCCCAGCAGCAGACCTGACGGATAGCATTCTGAAACAATCGTAACTTCTTGGGAAACATAATACAGTGCGCTGCTGAGTTCACACCCTCTCACCAAGGTCGCAAATATCTCGATCTCTATTCATCATAGATTAAATGGATAGTTTTTCACCAACAGCAAAACCAGGGTCATCCACTCTGTAATCCAACGTGATATCCAACCACCGGAGGAAATGTCCAAAGGCGGACAGATCATAATATGTGGCATCTTTTCATCATCAGCTTGCACTGTGAATGCGACTTAAAGAGGTGGGGTAGCCTGGTTTCAGAGTTAAATTGGAGATTAACTTTCTGCAAAAGTTTGGTAACCTCTATAGCTTGACAGTCCTTGGAAACTGAAAATTCGCGTAGTGTGTGCCTTTGGTCAAAGTTGTTTTGTTTTTTTGTCCGTAAAATCCAAACATATTGTCGAGGAGAAAAGTTGTTGTCTTAGCCTGGTGGATGTCTTAAAGAGTGTCATTTTAAGAAGTCTCTAGTTTAGAATTGTAAAGTTCTGTCTGACGTTTTTGGCCTTTTTGAGTTACTAAGACTATGAGATCAGACACCAAAAGTTTTATTTGCTCTTTCAGAATCATAAGATTATTCAGAGTCGTATCAAGATATTCCAAGAACTGAATTTTTTTTTTAAAAGCTTGACATGTTGCGAAACTCAACAGTTTTTATTTCAATTTTCTCAGAACTAGGTAATGAGAAGATAGAATTATGTAATTCTATGGTAGCGAATTAGAATTAAATTCGTAAAAACGACAAATGGTGAGAAATGAAGAATTAATTTTTATGTACAGATGATTGTCTTAGAGAGGTGTATATCTCAAACAATGTCATTTTTTCAAAAAGTAACACTGAAACGATAAAAACTACGAGAGGTGAAATGGGACGTGATTTTTACATATTGGATGATTGTCTTAAATAGAAGTGAGAGCAGGTTTGACTTTACTTCAAGTAACAGTCCAGGTAAAGATAAGAAAAACTAGTACTTGGTTCGCTGACAACTTTTTATAGTAAGCATGTGTGTGTGTGTGTGTGTGTGTGTGTGTGTGTGTGTGTGTGTGTA